TGGACCCAGTTCCTGCAGTGGACAGCCTGGGCGATGCCACCTCCATCAGTCTGGGCCCTGTGACCCTCACGGTCTTCAGACACTTGAAAAACTAACGTGAGAAACAACTCCCTCAGCTCCTGTGACCTCACTGCCTGAGGCCAACAGCCCAAAATTGCATTTTGACTTTCCCAATCTCCTACCTTTTCTGGAAATAAACACAGTGACCAAAGAGCATGACAGCAAACAAGCTGGGCCATTGGGGAATTTGGGAGAACACACCATCAACCCTCGTTTTCTCTTGCAGGCTGGCTGGGTACTCCCACAACCACAGAAGGAGAAACTTTCAGACGAGCACAACTGAAGGTGCTGGGAATATCACGCACCCAACCCAGCACGTCTCGTGTCGTGCAGCGTTGCAATAAAGGAACTGCCACATTTCCTCTCCAGAAAGACAGCAGATGTTGCACCACATATGTCTGTGACTAAACTCGTTTGGAAAAATCAGCTGCCAACAGTAACTGCAAAATGCTGCCGCCTCACAGCTGCAGCGCCACGTCCCGGACAGGGACAGACGAAGGTCTGTTGGGCCACTGCTGCCACCTGCTCGTCTGACACAGCTGGGAGCCTGTCTGGACTGCCAAGCTAAATATCAGTCCCACGAAGAGTGGGAGCGCCCCCCACACCCACCAAACAGACCCCATTAACCCGCTCTGCTTTCCTGCCCTCCTGCCCCCCATCCTCTCCCCTCATGCAGCTTCGCCCGCTGATCGCTGTGTGAACCACTTCTCCTCCGGCACGCCGTGAGCTCTGGCACCCCAGGGACCAGAGAGGGTTCAAAAAAACTCCCCAGCAACTGCTGTCCCGGGCAAAGAGCGGGCCAAGGTCCTGTCACTCACCCTGTACCATCAGTGGTAACAACAGGATTCATCGTGAGGCCAGCGAGACCACACCAGTGGTGATAAAATCTCACCAGGCCTTCACTGAGGCATCTCGAGGTGGCCTTCGTGTTTCTGCTTGCCAGGCAGAGGTTCTTCCACCTCTTGAACATCAGCCAGGCCTTTTCAGGAATAATTCCTGCCATCCCTTAAGCCAGTCTCTGGGATCATTTACTGCGATTTCCGTGGTTGCTACCCTCAGCCCTGTGATGCACAACCCACAGGCCCTGCCCTGTCCACAGAACCTCTGCCCCCGTGCACGCCTTACGTCCGTTTGCCGCGTGTCATGTGCGGTGCTGCTCTGAGCGTCTGGAAGATTGTCTGATCTTACCAAAGCAGTTACTGTGATAACACCTGGTACTGGAAGCAACTTGGAAAGGATGAGAGAAGAGCAGCTCCCACACAGCAAACAGCACTTCCAGTGGGACTTCTGCCGGGCCACACGTCAGAAACCAGCGAGGAGAAAGTCACCCCTGCTCTGCACAGCCTGCACCCTCCTCAGTGACCTACAGAGGCCTGACTGCCTGGACAAAGCCTTCACACCCAGCAGATCCAACACAATTACAGCTGCACACACCAACGTATGTGGTCCAGACCCCTGCAGGGCACAGCCACAAGCTTATGCTTCAGACCAAATCACAGGACCTGCTCGAGCTGTGGAGGAAGGGTCCCTGCCACACCTGCCTGAGCAGGCAGGAGGGCATCACCACAGCTGGAGCCACCTGGTTTTTGGAGAACCTCTGGACAGTCAGTGAACATGAAGATCCGAAGTTCTCCTCAGAGCCTTCCCCAGGCCCAGCAGCACCACACGCAGACCATGGGGCGTTTGCAGAGACAGCAGCCTGGGGAGGAGGAGAGCTGGCCTCAGCCTTCGATGCAATACCAAGAGGCAGGATGGTCGCTGCCCCAAGCTGCTGTGCTAGACCAGCACGACATTAACCAGCTGCCCAAAAAGGTCAGGGCTTGCTTGTTGTTAGGCAAGACAGCGGCGTGGAAGGGCTCTCTGGGAACAGAGGTGCAGCACACGCTCTGCACAGCACAGACAAGCAAGTAAACCTGTGCCATGAAAGCAAGGACCGCAGCTTAGTGAAGCCATCCTGGTCCTGCTGCAGAAAACCCACAGCTTCCCCTGCCTGCCTGGGCAGGTCTAGCACAACCTTGCGTTGGAGAAACCGTATAAAGATGAGGTCTGGCTGGTAAGTGGATCGCCACGCAGGGCAAGCTCCTCACAGGATCCACGACTGCCAGCGCTCCTCCAGGTCCCAGCAAGGAATCTTTAAAATTTCTGTTCGACTGGCTTTGGCTTCTAGCATGAACTGCTAGCCTGCAGTGTCTGCAGTGTATCAGTGTTTTTCAAGTATATAGTTACTCTTATGTTGCAATCAAGTCACTCTCAAGCTTCTTTTTGAATTATAGAATGGATAAGCTCTTTTAGTGTCTCACTATCAGCAACTTTTTCCAGCCATTAATTATTTCTTGTAGGTTTTTTCTTTTAATCTTCTCTGTTTCTCTGTGTCCTCTTGAAGTGCTGACACTGGAGCTTGAGAACACTTCAGCAGCTGCCCTCCTCCTGCCCTGTCCGAAAGCAAGAACCCATCCAGACTTCCACACAGTGCTCCCCTGCCCGCCCAGCCCAGGGCAGCCTCAGCCCTCGTACAGGGCTCCCATGGTCCCTCTTCTCCAGCTCCCATGGTCCCTCTTCTCCACAGCAGCAGCATCGGCCCAGACTGACACTGGTTTTGTCTGGACAGTCTCCGATTACCACAGTCCTTGGGGTCTTCTGGGCTTCCTCAGCCTCCTCACATGGACAAACCTGCTCCCTTGCCTCCTTGCTTCCACAGGTGTGGATCGTGAATAGACCCAGACCAGGGATGAGAGACTTTGCAGGCGCTTGTTCCTGAGCCATCGAGCAGCAGCTCAAGGTCTCCCGCCCAGCTTGCTGAGAGGCTGAGTCCCAGTCTCACACGAGAGCTCTCATCTCACACACTGCACTGCTTAAAGTTGTGTTTTCTATGCTTGCAGGGTCATCAAAGAGAACAAAAAGCTCCAGAACACAATTCACTCCATCCTGAGATAAAAAGAGACGAGAAGCAGCCTAACGAACAGCAGCACCTAATCCTGCAGCACCTTTCCCAGCTCCTTCGCAAACCCACCGGTTGCTACTCCTCACTGTGCTGCCCTTCAGAGACGGGACACGACAGAACCCATTCACAGGTGTAGGCTGGACGAGCTGGCGACACGCAGCGCCAAACACTTTCCAGAAGCCAGGATCAGTCTCGCACACCAATCCTCCTGCTGCTGCTCCCTCCAGACCTGCACAAACCTCTGAGGTGGTTTAGCAGATCCTCCCTTCCAGGCCTGCTGCAGCATTCACTATCCCCAGCTATTCCCACCATTCCTCCATCCCTCATGAGGAGGAAGCAAAAGGGGAGACTTAGAAGCAACCTGCCTGAAAGAGTTGCCCCCGTGGCCCCAAGAACACCAAACTGATGCAGAGGCTGCAGGACACTGAGGGGTCCCTGCCAGGGGCCAGGTGGGTCGGGTGGAAGCTTGATCTCTGGGCTTGCTCCTCAGGCCGTCTTGAGGTGCAGACGAGCAGCAGGAGAGGGTAACTGCGCTACATGTTTCTGTGTAAGAAGAGCAGCGCTGCCACTACGATCCTCAGCCCTGCAACAGGGCATTACAGGGAGGTCACAGAGCTACGCAGGGGAAGGAGGATCACCAGCTGCGCCTCGGAGGATGCGGGAGGCACGTGAAGCCAATGACAGGCTCAGTCCTGTGTCTTGCCCTCAGCCTGCCCCGCCGTGCTGCGATGAACCAAGCCGGATTTCTGCCTTCAGGCACCTCTGCTGCACTGTCATTTCCAAACTTTCCTTCCATGCGCCTGTTCCACTTGCACCCACTCACTCTCCTCCTTTCCAAAAGCAACTCTGCCCTGTCCAGCCCCTCAGCTCTGCAGAGACCCTCCTTCACGCGCCAAACACAGACCGCTGGCTGCACCTCACGAGACGAGGCAGAGAGGGTACCAGGGAACGTGCAGTCCTGTAGTAGGTTACGCTCCTGGTTTATTTACACAGACTGCGAATTCCTAGGATGTTGTGTAGGTTCTGTCTCCCACCTACAGCATCCTGTCACACAGAGCCCTCTCCAAGTCTAAGCAGAGATCTCTCCCACACACTGTTCTCATGAGGAACCGCTGTCCCATCTGGCCGCTCAGCTGCTGCTCCTCTACTCCAAGCACCCAAAGGTTCCTCCACGCTTCCTCCTCTCCTCCACGAAAGGCAGACAAAACCCTCTCCACAGCCCCACATAGGCAGCTGTGCTGCACAGGGACACCACAGGGATGTGACCGTCCCCCACAGCCTCTGTCCGCCAAACACAGGGCTGCCCAGGGGACAGTTGGCAGGGCAGGCAGGGGAAGGGCTGCCCAGACCCTCACACATGTCTGTGCGCAGCTCACCCATGTGCCACACACGCAGAGCCTCCCGCACACAGAGCACGTCCCACTCCAGGGAGCAGGTCTGCATGTGTCAGGCAACGGCACCACGCACAAGCGTGTGCCTAATCACAGAACAGAATCCTCGAACCACTAAGGTTGGAAAAGACCTCTAAGATCACCAAGGCCAACCGTCAACCCAACCAGCCATCTCCCAAGGTGCCACGTTTACAGGTTTTTTGAATATCCCCAGGGATGGCGACTCCACCCCTGCCCTGGCCAGCCTGTGCCAGTGCCTCACCGCTCTCTCAGTGAAGAAATTGTTCCCAATATCCAACCTAAACCTCCCCTGGTGCCACTTGGGGCTGTTTCCTCTTGTCCTGTCATTAGCAACCTGGGAGAGGAGACCAATTCCCACCTCACTACACCCTCCTGTCAGGCAGGTGTAGAGAGCAGTGAGGTCTCCCCTCAGCCTCCTCTTCTTCAGACTAAACAACCCCAGCTCCCTCCACAGCTCTTTGTAAGACTTGTTCTCCAGACCCTTCCCCAGCTTTGTTGCTCTTCTCTGGACCTGCTCCAGCACCTCAACGTCTTTCTCACACTGCAG